AGAGACAGTGCGATTGGCACAGGACAGAGCGGAGTTTAGGGCTGTTGTACACAGGGTCGCTATGAGTCACAAGCGACTCGACGGCACATAATAATAATAATAATAATAGGAGTCCACATAGATTTCAGAGCAGTGGATGGGGAGCATCTTCTTTAAGGGTGTATTATACAATGGGAGCTCTGGTAGTTTAATGTAAGGAATTGTACTACTAATCCAAAGACAAGTGGTTCAAATATACCAGTTGCTCTATGGGACAAAGATGGATAATTTCCTCCTGTGCTGTATGATAATCCTCTGGAGAGTAAGTTATGAGTTGATTCCAGCTTGATGGTATATAACAACACCATGATCAACTAAGTGTGAAAACTTTTTGCACATGTTTTGTCTTCAATTTCTTTTTCTGATTGTAAACTTCCAGAATCAATGAAATAAATAATGAAAAACCCCACTACACCCAAAACTCTCAATCTTTACTCCTCTTATAGTAACGTACTTTCCTATAGTTATAGAGGGCAATTTCTAATTAGTAATTAAAGGCAAACTGGAATGAATGTTCAATTTTTGCCTGGGAGGTTAATGAATGAGCACTGAAAACTACTATTTTGAATTGAGCCACATTTTACACTACAGTAAGTTTCTCAACCGGAGCCAATACACAGGATAAAAAGAACTCACAGAGTGTGTGATAATTAAAGAAAATTCTCAAACATAAGAAGCCATGTACACACCTTAACTCCAAAGAATAAGTGTGTGTGCGCACGCGCGCACACACACACACTCTAAACTGATAGCCCTGGGTATTTGTGTCAAGTTTAGATATGAAAGGCCGTCATTTACATGCACATGCAAAAACAACTGTTCACCCCTTACTATCCCCCCAGTTATGTAATATGTAAGAATAATAAAGGGAGGGAAGCCTGCTGCAGCATGAGAGGCTTTCCAGCTTCATACTTTTTGTACTACATCTCCAAGAAGGTATAGGAGTTATTACATCTCACTATTAATACTTCAAACTAAGAATTATATCTTAATTCCTCCTTGTTCCTTAGAGGCAAGGAGGTCAGGAGGGCCCAGTTCTTGGAAAAAGATATGCTGGGAAAGGTGGAGAAGATCAAGGAAAGAGGAAAATCCTCAACAAGATGGACTGACACAGAGACTGTAACAGTGGATGGAGCATATCAGAGATCCTGAGGATGGTGCTGGTAGAGCAAGGTTCAGACCTGTTATTCCTAAGGTTGCTGTCTTAGTTGACTTGATGGCACCTAACAACAATGTCCCGAAAACAATACCATTCAACTTCAAAGGCTCCTAAATGCTTAGAAACACTCGAAAAGAAAGAAATAAAATTATATTAATGCCTTAGCATCTACAGTCTCATTACTTACATGGATACCAATATGTTAGCTTATTTAGAAAAGTATATGTAACCAAACACATACAGATAAAACTTTCTTGCTCTTCTACTCTGAACAAAATTACAAAAGTGGATGGAGATACAAATACATACCACTTCTCTTTTCTATTCTAAATAGATGAGTCTTCAAATGCCTTTAGTCCCTGTCTCCTTTCTGGAGTCCAGATCTACATCTTCCTCTTCAGTAACTAGGTCAACATCTTTGCTATTCTCTCAGGTCATCTGATCTCTGAATGGGATTTATTACATCTTTCCCTTCGTATTTCCACATTAGCTTATGCTTTCAGTATTTCTCATCATCTTACTGTTGCTTTCTGTCACACTGACCACCACTCACAGTAACCACATGAACAGCCGATCAGAACCCTGTGCTATCCTGCATCATCGACACTCTGTACCATGCTGAAGTCCATTGTTGTGGTCATGGTCAATCCATCTTGTTGGAGATCATCTTCTCTTTCACTGACCCTTTATGTCTCCCAGCATGATAATCTCTTTACCCACTTTCTCTAAAATTTCTCCCTTCCCAATTCAATTCATCCTTCTCAAACTTTCAGATTAATTAGTTTAAAGCACATTTAGAATGTCACTACTTTCAGTTTAACAGCCTTCAGCAGGTCCCCATTGCTTCCTAAAATATAAACAAATCCTTAACTTTGACATTTAAAGCCCTCTACAACATGGCTTTACCTTACCACTCCAGTATTTCCCTTTCCCATAATTCAATTAAAGTGGACTAATTTGAACAAATCCTATACTTGCCCAGTTGAATGTTCTGCTTATGCATCCTCTACCTTCCTGTACTGCTTCTTCCTAATAAATTCCTACCCATCTGAGAAGAACTATCTTAAATGCCACCTCTCCCATGAAACTGCTCCCATTCAGATGCCATCTCTTTTCCTTCCTGTTCGCTGGTCTGAAGCATTTCTTTCTCTGTTGTGATTCATGGTTATTTATGATCTTATCTCTTGAGTATCCTGTAATATTGCTGAAGATAGTGATTCTGTGTTTTTTGGTTTTGGGGGGACATGTGTGTGTGCGCGTGCGCCATCAAATTGGATCTGACTGGTACAGGAGACTGTCCCTCCTTCTCCAGCAGAGCATCTACTGGATTCAAACTGCACACGTCTGGAATTGGGTAGTGATTCTGTTTTATCATCCTATTTCCCAGTAATTGAAGTTTCCATATGACAAACTGATAACAAATAGTTGTTACATTTTTTAAAAGGAAGTTGAATGTGTAGGCTAGTTAATTAATTCTTTAAATAAGTGAAAGGTAAAAAAAATATTCTCTTAGAGAAAATGAATGTTTCAAATAAAGTTACTCTTTTTTTTTAAATTTAATTATTTTTTTGTGTATACTGTCAAATTGGATCTGATTGGTACAGGAAGAGATTGCCTCCTCCATTCTCCAGCAGAGCATCTGGTAGATTTGAACCATGTACCTCTGGGATTGCTAAAGTTACTCTTTAAAAGTAAGAAGATCTAGGAGGGGGATTTCATTACCACCAAGAAAACAGAGGCAGAGTGCAGCTTTCAGATTTGGAGTCTCTCTACATTTAGGGTATCCCATGTCATACCAAAGATGGCACAAGGCTGCAAGAAAATGTGGCAAGTGTGGCAGAGAACCAGTGACAGTAGAAGCAGAAGAATGGGAGGAGAAAGCATGGTGGGCTTCCCAGCCCACAGGGAGAAAGCTGAGTGCTTTGGTGCAGAAGCAGGGTGTCTCTGTGCACTTGATTGAGCTAAGTTCACCTTCCAAGCAATGAGAGGGCTAAGCACACTTCTGGGCATACAGGCAGAATGGGCTGCCTCCAGACACTTACAGAGCTAAAGAGCTCCATTACACTTGCCCAAGTGGGACAGAGCCTAGGCCAAGAAGATGAAGGTCAGGGAGAGGCCTTTCTCTAAGCATGGGTGAGAAATATATCCTAAGTACTGACTAATTCTGAATCATGATTTATTATTTCCTTAATAAACCCCATTAACTGGAGGAGGAGGGGTAGATTAAATAAGGTGCAAAAACATTTCAGAATCAAGTGAAAAATGGAGCAGAAATTTTAGATAATAACAGAGAGTACAAAGGGTTAGTGAAATTCTAACCCTTTGTACTACAAAAAGAAAAATGTGTCAAACATGTGAACAGGCACACACACAGATAAGACTATTGGCTAATGGGGTGTTACCTTGGCAACTGTTTGTTCAGCAATGGTGCTAGGTCGGCGCTGGCGGGCATCAAGTCTCTGCTCCACAGGAAAACTGCTCCTGTGTGATTTCAGCCGCTCCACCAACAAGTAATAAATGGCAGCAAAGTGGTTATAGCTCTTGTTCTGCAAAGACTGAAGGCAGAAAATAAGGAATGAAGGCAGAGAACCATCATCAAGCAATCTAAAGCTGTAAAACGGCCTAAAAAAAGAGGGAAGAAATCATGTATTCTTAGAGTTGCAAACAAAGTGTACCCCAAGACGAAAGCTCTTCCATATTTTGCATAGAGAAAATGTCAAGTCTCTATTAATTTTAAACTAAAAGGAAATGCCTTTAAATGGCCTGACTGACTCTTTCAACTTAACAGGACTCACTTTAGTTTTCAGCATTCAGAAAGAATGCCATTATTTCATGGAGACATTCCCAATGCTGCCACAGGGTCCCATCTCACAGCTGTAACTGTGGCATAAGGTCAGTTAGCAACCTGAGCCAAAGGCTCTAATCCTATAGTTTTAACACAAATACAAATCTTTCAGAACTCTGAAGTGAATGATTATATGCCTTTGGGGAATGTTGTGATGATTACTATGGACTAGAGAATGACATCTGGATGCTAGAATGACAGACACTGTGTCTCTGTTCTTAAGTAATATTTTCCTCTTGCTTTTGTAGTACCACTCCCTTAAACCTTGAAAATAAAGTTGCTTCCTGATTTTAAGAACCTCTTGCCTGCCAGCTTTCCCAGGATGCTAAAGGAACCGAGAAACACAGCTCTTCTGGCTTCAAAACGCAGCCTGCATGGCGCTTTGTGGTGCGTTACAGACACAGTCTCAGCAAAAGCTGGCGGCCAGCAGAGCTGCTCTCACGTCTGCGGCTCTGGGCTCACGTCATGGGCAAGTGGAGAAACACATCCCTGAGTCTGTAACGAGCAGAGCAGGAAAGCTGGCTTGATCTTGCTGAGGTAACAAAGTCGGGAAAGGCTCTGGAGTCATGGATTTTCACAATCATGAAGACATTTTGTATTCTTGCTTGCTGTGTTTTCTTATTAGGCACACTGCTTTTGCTCATTTGGTTACTACTGTAGTAATATTAAAAACATTCACATCTTGTGATTACATACTATTAGAAGATAAGAAAATTTTCAAGTTCATAGCCTTTTCCAAACTATGATCCCTAACATTTCTAAATCAGGAATCCACCTGTTTTTGCTTTCTCATCCTCTCCATTTGACAGACTAAATTCCATTAGTTTTTTTAAACCTGCTGCCCTATGGTCTTCTGGTTCCCAGCTCAGCTTTCAGCTAAGTTTTATACCTGTATATTTATGGTCAACGTAAGATCAGTTAATACATTTATAAAAGTTCAGGCTTGTCTTAGAATATTTTCTACTTAGTATTTTTTTTCTCTCTCTCTCTCTCTTTAATCTCCATAATCCTTTTGAATATGTGGGCAGATGGGGCTAAAGAAAGAAATCTATATACTGAATAAAAGAAAACATAAACAGTCAGATACAGTCTTTAGGGCAAACTAAACAGCATGCCTGGGTGTTAGGATGGATCTGGTAAAAGACCAAGATAACAGGTGTGAATATGAAATTTCAAGTTATTGAGTATAAGAGAATCCTAATGTAACTTAATCACTTCACCTCAATGGTTTTTTGTTGATCTATTCCAAGGCTGTGCATTAATCGCAGAACTTGCTCATTGAACTCCCCAATAGATGGTTCATTTTCTTGTCCTTGTGGATAGAGAGAAGGTCTCTGGACCGGAACATCCACCAGCATCCACTTATGCTCCTTGATTTGTGCTATGGTTAGCCGTTTGGATGGGTCTAGGACCAACATCCTGCGAATGAGGTGCTCACAATCTATAAAATACAATTTTATAAAAGTCACACAAATTACCTTCTCCTGGAGTCTACCTGCCTGACTCACATGACTCTGTACACCAGCTTTAACATCTGTGCCATCCACAGTGCTCATTGCATTAAGGCTACTGCCAGGTGTCAAATTTATGCCTGAGGAAAACAGGAGAAGGTGGATCTCTCCATCTTTCTACTGACTGTGCTTCCCAACTCCACTAGCTGAATTACTAATTAATGTTAATGCACTATCTAGGCATAGATTTCTATTTCCTCCAAAGAAAAACCGGCCTCCTTCCTAGAACAAAGCAAATAATAACCTGATCCATAGTCACTTCTAAGGCTAACACGCAGAGGATATGGAAGTAGCAAACTGCAACTCTCCAACAAACTAGCCTGTTTTCTAGAACTGAGAAAAAAAACTACATCAAACACTGCTTAGTCCTGATTACACTAAGAAAACTGCACTGATGCAGCTGGAGGCCCTTGTTTATTATCTGGGCTCAAACCATATTCTTCACCACCTTCTATCAACAGAAGTCCACAGAGCTAACTCACTCTGTCAGGCCCTGGGCTGTGACGCTGTATGTCAATTAATTAAACAAATTCTCACAAATTCCAAGTATGGGAATGACTTTTCTTCCATTTCACAGATAAATAAACTGAAGCACAAAGAGGAGATATAACTTGGTAGGGCCATACAGCCTTAATAATCAGGCTGCGGAACCCACCCCCTTAGTTACTAAGAACACTATATCTACTACTATTAGGAACCAAAGAGTTGAGGATGATAACTTCCAAAACTAAACTAAGTAGTAAACTACCTCACAACACAACACAACACAACACAAAGGATTATGGCATTCAAAACAATATTGTCAATTTGCAATTTTCTGTTAAAGGATGTAAGAAAATATATTGCACACTTAGAGTAAAACAGTTATGAATCTGTATCTATGCTATGCTTCTTTAAGAATAAAATAAGCCCAGGACATTAACAGACCCACAATAAATAGGGAGACCTGGTGCTCTTTATCGGGGAAACTATCTTTTTCTAGTTAGAAGTAGGACCACTGGAGGGAACTGTTTATTACTATGGCATGTAAAGTCACTCAGTCATTTTCTTTGATACTCAAATGCGTAGAAAAAGGGAAGCAAAAATTGTCCTCATTCAGAGGCATCTCTCTCAGAGCTCAGATTCTGTAAAGGACAATTACCAAGATACACAGGTCATTACCTTCTGACATGAAATAAGGAATCCGGAATCTTCCTTCCAAAACCCTCTGCCTCAAGATCGGAAGAGTGGGTCCATCAAAAGGCAGAGCTCCACAGACGAGAACGTAAAGGACAACACCCATGCTCTAGGGAAGAACAGATGTAGTCACATTTCTACCAAGAATTCTCAACACTGTTTCTCCACATAGGGTTCTTAAAATTATATAGACTGAAGAATTTCTATCTGAATTTAATATTTTCTCAGAATTTGAAAATAGGAACCCCGTATTACTGAAATAAACAGTCCTTATAAAAATATTGGAATTCAGTAATTTTAATTACTATTTAATTTTAAATGACTAGTGATTTTTAAATGATAACATCTGTCCCAACACGTACAGTTCTTTAGCTAATTTCTAAAAACTGCCCAAAATATCAGGTGCCAATAATCTCTAAATTGGACAGAAATACTAAATATTACCATTATAGATGCATTTAACACAGCAAAGCAAAGAAGTACCCAAATATCCAGCTGTGGTCCTTCATACTGCTGCCCTTCAAAGACTTCTGGGGCTGCATAAGGGGGGCTGCCACACCACGTTGCCAGCAGTTCACCACTTTTAAAGAAATTTCCAAAACCGAAATCTATTGGGATGAAAATATGTGTTACATTCATTTCTGTTCTCCAACTGTACTAAATTTATCTGTAATAAATGTCATGCTATTGTGTGTTCACAATGCCACTACTATCTGCTCTGTGAGAGCTGGGTAGACACTACTGTTGCATTTTGGTAGCACTTAGCACAACTAGTGATAGTAAGTACTCAGTGAACAGCTTGTTGCATGCATGCTTAAGTAAGCCAAGTTCTCTTCTCAAAGGGAATGAGAAAAGTCTTAGGGGGTAAAACCCCCTTAGTTTTAGGATCAAAAATCAATTTGCTTAGATAATCACCTTGAATTTGATGATCTTAAAATTAGCCAGCAACTCTTTTTATCAAGTCTATTAGAAAGAAATCAAATGAAAAAACCTCAAAGATAGTTACTTAAAAACAAGCCCAGTGAGTGGCAGTTTCTAGCCATTACCCCACAGCAGCAAAATATAACCTCTAAGGCAACTAAGTAAGCCGTCTTTACTTAACATCCATGACACATTCTATGAAATAGGATGTTATGTGACCTGGATGTTGTGCAAATATGCCTAACACAAGAGCAATAGCAAGTACCAATTTTTCATCTTCCTACTGTTAAAAAAATCTTTTGCTTTAATTCCAAATAGATACATCTCCTTTGTCTCTTGCGGCTATGCTCTTGTGCTGGCTGTGCTACATTTGGAAGACATGATGCACTTCATGGTCATATTTTTGAAGGAAAATGTAAGAGAGCTAGTGCTACAACATTGGAGAGACAGGCAATGCACAAGACTGGATGCTGCTGCCTAGTAGTCAAAGCATATACTGTAATGTGAGTAAACTTTTTACATGTAAGCAGGGAACGTTCACATTAACAATAGAAAGTACAGCACAGACCATATACAAGCCAGTAACATGAGGTTTATTACGACCATCAAGACAAAGGTATTGTTGGTTATATATTTTACAAGCCATATACACTCAGTCAGGTGTCAGATGTGCTTGCTGTTCTCCAATGAAGACTTCTGAATTCTGCTGTAATAGTAAGTTAAATGCTGCCATCTGAAAAGCTGGCGGGGCAAACCTAACAGGTGCGCCACAGGGGTAAGATGAGAGAGTCTCCTCCTCTTGGTAAGATTTGTAACCTCAGAAGCCCAATGGAGGATCACCATGAGTCAAAGTTGAATTAAAGGCAGTGGGGTCTAATCAGACAGAGATGCAATCAAGTGTTGCCAAATGATGTTACGTGGTATATGACTGACCAGCATTTGCTAAGTCAAAACTCTGTAGGTATTTTCTGTGCACCTGATTAGGTAGGTACCCATTTTTATACCTCAATGACATGTAATTGCTGGATGAGGCCCAGTTACAGGCCACCTATTACCAGTATCACTTATTGGGTCATTTAGGAAATGCAGTATCAGTATACTTCAAATCAGGTAAAAAAGGCCTTTCTTTTCCAACCTTCATCATGCTGCATCTGCAGCTTTGGCTGACATTATGTCCTCTAGACACACTGAACTCTGATGCCTTTTAAAAAAAATGTGATTTGAAGCTGGGATTTAGAAGGAAGAGAAAAGACCAGAGAATGGCCAAAATTATTGGGGCAGCTATTGCTGCCAGTTTAGGGCCTGTGTCAGGAAAAGTCTTACTCATATACAGTGCCACCCAAAGGTAAAAAAGGAGGTCAGAACTGCTTCCACTGTGGAAAGCTGGGCCACTTCAGTAGACAGTGTCACAGATGAGAGCCACAGATAGGCAAGGGAGTAGAGAGAAAGCTCCCACTCACTTGCTTTAAGTGTGGATCTGAAGGACACTTGGCCAAGGGTGGCCCACATCAGGTCCTCGTGGCAGACAGGACTGACAGGCCCCAGCTCCCAGCTGGAAACAAAGGAGGATGCTTCAACGATTTAGATCCTCCCAGAAGAGCTGTAGGTGAGCATTAACATTACTGGTAAGTATATTCATTTTCTCCTGGACACAAGAACCTACTATTTGGTCCTAAAAGCCTTCTGAGGTCCCAACTCTTCTCACTATTTCTTAGTTATTGGAATGGACGGAAAATCTCATAAGCAGTTCCTTACTTCACCTGTGCATTGCACGTAGACTTCCAAGTTGTAAAACAACCCAGTGGTAGATGGAATTTGGTCCAGAACTTAAGGACAATAAATGACATAGTTGAGCCTTTACATCTTGTGGTTCCTAACCTTTTACTATAATAGACAAAGTGCTAGTCAATAAGTCTATTGTAAGAACTACCTTCCCTCTGTAACTTGATTTGTGCCACTATTAGAGCCTCTACTTGGAATATTATTGCTTTTAATTTTTGACTCATGTACTTTTAACTTGTTAGTTAAATTTGTGTCTTCTAGGCTGCAACACTTCCATGATACATCTTCAAGGATATGAACATATACGGCTAAGCACAACTGATAACAGTGCATCAAAATTCCAAAATCAATCTCCATAATAATAGTCTATGTGTTTCCCATTGCCAAAGGGGCCCTTTAGAGCAGTGAGAGAAGATCTTCATCCTGAAATCTACAGCATCTCTTTTCAGCAGGAAGTAGCTAAGAGAATACGCCATCCCCTTTTCCTTATGAATCAGGGTGAAGTCTCTCTCAGGGAGGAGTGATAGGGAATGGCAAAAGACACACTGACAAAGGAGATTAATCAGATCTGGCTTTGACAAGCACTGTGGCAACTGGACAATTAAAACAGACTTTTGGGGGGGAGAAGAACGAACTGGGGAGGAGGGTAGAGAAAATAGTGCAACAATGAATGAATGAAAACCCAAAATCTCTGTAAATGTTCATGAAAATTAATAAAATTTAATAGTAAAAAAAATCTGTGATTTGAAAGTTTACAAAGCAAAGTGGTTTTTCATTCAACCATTCATACACATTTTGTTTCACAACATTCATTACAGTTTTTACAATGAAATGTCACTTTCCCCATTTCTTCTCTGTACTGTCATTTCCATGAATCCTTCTATCCTACCCCTTCCTGGAGTCTGGGCTTTATCCTTGGGCAAATGCTGTGCTTCTGACCTTATGCGGTTGGTTTTTCTAGAGAATAAGTGCTTCTCTGGTGTTACTAATCATCTTATAGGCCTATCTATTGTTTGGCCAAAAGGCGAGCCCTGGAGTGAGTTCTGTTCCAGATTCAAAGCACAACTACTAGGGCACCAGAACTCCCTATTCTAGAGCACAGTGAAAAGATAATGCCAGATCTTTCTCCTCTTGTGAAACCACTCTTACTAAACTATTGCCTTTTACAGAAAAAGGCCCTGAGAAATTATACAGCAAAAGTAAAAAGTGTACATAAAAGAAGGAGCATCCTGGTGGGGCATCTCTACATTCAGTTCTTGGCACCCAGGAGTATGAGGCCAAAAAGCTGCTACTGAGGGCTTGGGCTCCATTCACAATGTGCCCTCAGTCCAGTCCTATGTTAGCTTTGCAAGGTGTCTGACTACCAGAGAGGCCTTCTCTCCTAAATTCTAACTCAATGACTACTCAAATTACATTATAACCCTAGGGTACCCACAGGTATGTTTAGAATTTTGCTTCAAAATCCTATACTCTTGATGGAGTTGTGAAGGATTAAAATGCTCAACCAATGTTTAAATAGGAAAATGTTAATTTTGCTTATAAGTAAAGCACAAGAAATTCTGGGATGTATGGAGATTTGGGAACTGTATAATACATGCAGTATTTTAGAGTGCAAGATTAGTTTTAACACAGGTAAATGGAGGCTACTCTCCAATTAGCATTGTGAAGCATTAAGTGTCATAAAGAACCATTACACAGATGCTTTGTTCTCTCACACTGTGGTAGAAATGAACTCAAAGGAGTGAGTGGGACAGAGCTCTGTCAGGAGGGCCCAGGCCTCTCTGCAACTGCAGACTCTCACTGGTCAGTTAAAATGAGCAAAGAGTTGAGAAAGCATCACAGAGCCTAGGGCAGTCCAGCTTCAACAATGGCTGGTTTTTCACATCTGTTGTTTGTTGTTGTGTGTACCACTGAGTCAGAACTGAGTAACAGCTGACCCTCCAGCAAGTGTTCAGAGGCAGTAAATAGTTCAGGAGGATGCTTCCTAACTTTCTCTAGTGGAGCAGCTGGTGGATTCAAATCACATGCCTTTGGGCTGGCAGTACAATCCCTTATCACTAAACCACCAGAGCTCATTTCATTTCATAGCTAAGACAGAGAAAGTTTCCCATTACCTGACAAGACTGACACTAAGCAGCTATCTATTTCTATTTCCTAGTGAAGAAAATAGGAAAACTTGAGTCTATAGTAACATTCTCTTCCAAATATGAAAGAAATCAGGCTTATTAATGCGATCTCAAAATAACATATGAATAGTAGTTCTACAGTCTTCTGAAATAACATAAAGCACTGTGTTTGTAATTTTCTATGCAGTGGCTAAGGAAGACGTTGGAGTCAGGCGGATCTGGTCCTTTGATAATGATGTCTGGACACTGATAATTTATACAACTTAATTAGGATGACAGTAATAAAAATAACTTGTCTTTGTGATCAGGAAGATATAATTCTGGGTCTTTTATTTATTAACTCTATTATCTTGAGCAAACTACTTAACTTCTTTGAGCCTTGGTTTCCATGTTTGCAAAATGGGACTAATACCTACACTTTATGGGTCACTGTAACTGTTGCAATAAAGGAGTAAAACAACACTTTCAGCATGGTGATAAAACATAGAGTAAGTTTTACAATGTTGTATATGTGCAACAAGCAACAGCTATTATTACTCTTTTTATTACTATTTTACTTAGCTCTCCTTCATCAAGCTAAATTCTTTGAGAACAAAGAGGAGGCCCACATTCCCTGAATTTAGCACCATGTCTGCAGACAACAGTAAGTGTCTGCTGAGTAAATATGCTGCCATTATACACCAGGAGCTGATTAATTTCTGTGAAGATGATTTAATTTACTTGTCTTAATAACCCTATGAGTTATCTCAGGAGAAAGTGATGGCAGAAAGTTAAATACC